AAGTCTCAAATAGTTCAAACCCTGCGGTCCGTATCGCCAGAAATAACTACCGGCGACGGGGGAACGCGATAATAAACCGATCTTGACCAGAGTCATGATGTTATATGTCAAGTATGTCGAGTCTACTGGCACAAGATCCTCAGGGGGTGGAACATTCAAATAACAGGCTAGCAAAGAGACCATGCCACCCATACTAATATGGCCACTGGAGTTGGACTTCACCTTTACACAACTATCAACAAAAATCTCCACCCAATTGGGCGTACCGACACCTTCAGGGGTCATCGCCCACAAATACGACAATGTGACTTTGGGGACCTTAGTGGCCTCCCCTTGGCACAGAATAGTGGACGATATAAACCTATGCACCAGTCTAAGGCATGGGTGGGTGATTTTGAAGCTATGATCACCATGAGGGTCAACTTCACAACCAGTTATAGCCCTCCAAAATGTTCGGGACGAGTACGTGCTATAATCACCCCAACGGTTCACCAATGGGGGTGCATCCCAACCAAATGCCATACGCAAATCATCATAAGACATCACATAATTCCTATTGTTCAAATTAAAGGATATTTGTTCACGTCCTTTAGTAAGCGTTGAAAGGAATTCATATGTATACCTGACATAGGTGGGAGCGCATTTGGTCATGAAATTCTCGAGACCCACGTTCCTTAGCAAGAGCCGCACTCCTTCCTCCATCTCTAGCTCTTGTAGAGCTTCTAAGTCAAAGAACTTGGTGCATTGCACCGTTCGTCGGGGTTGTTGAAGCTTAGTCCATACGCCCTTCTCCTTGGAATGCAACCGAACACCCATGAAACCATCCCCTTGAGGCAATGGAGGTGCCTCCCCTTGACTTGAAGAAGCCCCTTGCCTCTTGCCCCTTGAGGGTCTTGATGGAGATGATTCTTTAGACCTCTTGTTGTCTCTACCCATGGCTATAAAAAGGAATATGTTCACTTGCACCTTCACCTTCACCTTCAATGAAAATAAATTAAGCTTGCAATTCCACACAACCAACTCAATTTCACAATTGAAATCAAGAAAAATGGTAAATCTTAGGTGAAATTGTGATGGGAATTGAGAATTTGATGAAAGATGAAGATTTGGGAAAGAGAAATTGGTAGGAATTTGGTATAATTGGAGTAGGGGAATGAATGAGTAGAGAGAAGGAGAAGAAAAGGAGTAAGGGTTTATGTGAATTGGGGGATAATGAAGTTGGAGTTTGGAAAAGGGGAAATAAGGGGAAAAAAAAATCGGGGAGAGTTGTAGGAGCCGCTGGTAGCGGCTTGAGGCCCGCTGCCAGCGGCTCTGGCAGATTTTGGTGATTTGATTTTTTTTTTTTTTTTTTTTTTTTTGAAATTAACAAAACTTAGAGGGGGGCCCGCTGGCAGCGGCTCAGGAGCAGCTACCAGCGGCTGGGACAGAAACAAAGGGGTTTGGGCTGCAAGAAGACCCGCTGGTAGCGGCTGCAGAGCAGCTGCCAGCGGCTTCTGCAGGGAAGGCCCCTTTGTTTCTGTTTTGCTCTGTTTTTGCTGCGTTTCGCGCATAAAAATTGCTCCCAAGGCCTCCACCTACACAAAAACAAAAAAAAACACTCTTCACATCACACGAAAAAAATAAAAACTAAACTACGAAAAGTAATGGGGAAGAGTTTTCGATCGGGTTGCCTCCCGATTAGCGCCTTTGTTTTACGTCGTTGGCTCGACGCGGCTCATCCCACTTCGCTACTCCATTGATGGCTCGTAGAGATCGATGCACTCCACGTTCTCGGTTTTGAAACCCTCGAAGTAGGGTTTGAGCCTTTGGCCATTGACTTTGAAAATCTTATCGGTCTCGAGGCTTTGAATTTCAACTGCTCCATGCGGATATACATTCGCCACTTGAAAAGGGCCCTCCCAACGGGACCGAAGTTTTCCCGGAAATAATCTAAGTCGGGATTGATATAGGAGTACTTTGTCACCGACTTTAAACTCCTTCCGCGTGATCATTCGATCATGCCATAGCTTGGTCTTTGCTTTATAAATATCTGCATTCTCATAGGACTCAAGCCGGATCTCCTCTAGTTCTTGGAGTTGCAATTTCCGATGTTCACCTGCTTCATCCATTTGCATGTTGAATGACTTAACCGCCCAATATGCTTTATGCTCAAGCTCAACCGGTAGATGGCACGGTTTTTCCGAAGACAAGGCGGTAAGGGGACATCCCGATAGGTGTTTTGTATGCGGTGCGGTACGCCCATAGAGCATCCTCCAACCTCAAACTCCAATCCTTCCTATCCGGATTCACCGTTTTCTGAAGAATTGACTTCACCTCTCTATTGGACACCTCGGCTTGCCCATTGGTTTGTGGGTGATAAGCCGTGGAGATTTTGTGGTGAACAGAGTACTTCCTCAACAAAGCACTCACTGTACGGTTGCAAAAGTGTGTTCCACGGTCACTTATCAACGCCCTTGGGATTCCAAACCTAGAAAATATGTAAGCTTTGATAAAACCTGAAACCACTTTAGAGTCATCAGTCCTAGTGGGTATTGCTTCCACCCACTTCGACACATAATCACAAGCAAGAAGTATATAAGTAAAACCGTAAGAAATAGGGAATGGTCCCATGAAATCTATACCCCAAACATCGAATATTTCACAATATAGAAGAGAGGATTGGGGCATTTCACATTTCTGGGAAATGTTACCTACTCTCTGGCAATTATCACAGGATTTACAAAATCCATAGGAATCTCGAAACAAACTTGGCCAGTAAAAACCACAGTCGAGAACCTTCCTTGCTGTGCGTTTGGCTCCAAAGTGTCCTCCACAAGCATGAGAATGACAGAAGGTGAGAATGGGGATCACCTCATTTTCGGGAATGCATCTGCGAATGATTTGATCGGAGCAGAACTTCCACAAGTATGGATCATCCCATGCATAGTACTTCGCATCAGTTCGAAGCTTGTCCTTTTGAGACTTTGTGAAACCTGGAGGAAACTGTTGAGAAACCAGAAAATTCACAATGTTAGCAAACCAAGGGCGCAAATCCTTAAGAGCAAATAGAGATTCATCCGGAAATTCTCCTAGGATTTGATATTGGAATGATGGTTGATCAACAATATGGGTCAAACGACTCAAATGATCAGCAACTAGATTTTCCGCGCCTATCTTGTCCTTGATTTCTAACTCAAACTCACATAAGAGCAGAATCCATCTTATTAGTCTTGGTTTGGCCTCTTTCTTCGTCATCAAGTGGCGAAGAGCTGCATGATCAGTGAAAACAATTACTTTAGTACCAAGCAAATAAGATCGAAACTTTTCTAGAGCAAATACTACAGCTAACAACTCTTTTTCTGTGGTAGTGTAGTTTCGTTGGGTTGAATTGAGGGTCATTGAGGCATAATAGATCACATGAGATGCCCTCCCTACTTTCTGGCCTAAAACAGCTCCAACTGCATAATCACTCGCATCACACATTATCTCAAATGGTCGAGACCAATCTGGGGCTTGAATGATAGGGGCAGAAATGAGCTTAGCCTTCAATTCGTCGAAAGCCTTCTTGCAATCATCATCAAAGTGGAATTTCACATCTTTCTGCAGCAATTTGCACATAGCATTTGCAAGCTTTGAGAATCCCTCAATGAACCTACGATAGAAACCTGCATGGCCAAGAAAAGAACGCACTTCACGCACATTAGTAGGATAAGGGAGAGACTGAATAGTGTCAATCTTAGCCTTATCAACCTCAATACCTCTAGAAGAAACTACATGACCTAACACAATGCCCTGTTGGACCATAAAATGACATTTCTCAGAATTCAAGACAAGGTTAGAGTCAATACATCTTTTGAGGACCATAGATAAGTGATGCAAGCATTTATCAAAAGAATCACCATACACAGTGAAATCATCCATAAATACCTCCATGAAATGCTCAACAAACTCAGAAAAGATGCTCATCATGCATCTCTGAAAGGTTGCAGGTGCATTACATAGGCCAAAAGGCATACGGCGATAAGCAAATGTGCCAAAAGGACATGTAAAAGTTGTCTTTTCCTGATCTTCAGGTGCAATGGGCACTTGAAAGTACCCAGAATACCCATCAAGGAAACAGTAATAGGATTTCCCTGCAAGTCTTTCAATCATTTGGTCAATAAAAGGTAAAGGGAAATGGTCTTTCCTAGTTACTGCATTCAACCTACGATAATCAATGCAAAACTCGCCAACCATTTTGAACTCTAGTAGGAACCATTTCACCCTGTTGATTTTCTACCACAGTCACACCACTTTTCTTAGGAACCACCTGCGTAGGACTGACCCATTTACTATCAGATATAGGAAATATCATTCCTATTTGCAATAATTTTATGATCTCCTTCTTTACCACGTCCATCATGGGAGGATTTAGGCGACGCTGAGGTTGCCTCACAGGTTTGGCATCATCTTCTAACAGAATACGATGCATGCAAGTGGATGGACTTATTCCCTTAATGTCTGCAATGGTCCATCCAATAGCTAACTTGTGCTCTTTCAGCACTGTCACCAACTTGTCCTCTTGCTCCTTGGTCAATTTGCTTGAAATTATAACAGGTAAAGTATCGTTCTGACCAAGGAACACATATTTCAAATGATCAGGAAGTGGTTTTAGCTCCACCTGGGGTGCCTGCAAAACAGAAGGTAAGAGTTTATCAGTAGGCACTGTCAGTGGGGTAGGTGTCGAACCTGGTGGTCTAAGTGGAAGCTTGGAATGACCATTCAACTCTGCTACCATCATCTGCACACTATTAGGCAAAGGAATATCCAAACAATCAGCAGATAAAATCATTAGAAATGGAAGTGAGGAGCGCATCCTCGCCTCAACATTGAAGACATCCTGCACTATAGGATCAATGATATCAATGGAACACAAAGAATGAGTGTCAACAGGGTATTTCATGGAATCATAGATGTTATACACAATTTCTTGTCCATCAAACTCCATAGTCAAAGAACCAGTAAAAACATCAATTTTAGTCCTAGCAGTTTTCAAAGAAAGGTCTTCCTAACAAGATGGGTACTGCTTGTCTATCATGTTCCATATCAAGCACATAAAAATCAGCAGGAAAAATTAGTTCATCAACTTTCACAAGCACATCTTCCACTACTCCCTTAGGATAAACATTTGATCTATCAGCTAATTGAATCACTACCCCGGTGTCATGTAAGGGTCCAAGTTCCAAAGATTTGAACAGTGAATATGGAATAACATTAATTGATGCACCCAAATCCAACATTGCTCTACGAAAAGTGGTGTCCCCTATTGTAACTGGAACAGTAAACATACCAGGGTCACTACATTTTTCAGGAAGTTTCTTTTGGAAAACTGCAGAAACATGAGCACTGACTTTCACTTTTTCCTTCCCTCCTAACCTGTGCTTCCTCTTAATAGTACAAAGTTCTTTCAAAAATTTAGCGAATCGAGGAACACTCTTTATTAAATTCAAAAGGGGAATGTTTACCTCACACTTGCTGAATGTTTTCATAGATATCTTGTCCTTCTCATACCTCTTCGTTTCTTTCAAAGCTTCAGGAAAAGGTGGTGTGGGTTCATAAGATGGAAAAGTGGGAGGATTTGCTACAGCTTCATGTTCCACTTCCTTCTCCTCAGCTCCAATCAACTCTTCAGCCCTCTTAGTTGCAATTTCAGTCTCTTTCAGCTCCTTGCCATTTCTCAATGTAATAGCGTTGGCTTGTTGCTTAGGATTCAACTCCGTTTGAGATGGAAGTTTTCCCGAATCCTTAGCTTCAAGTCTGCTCACTGCAGTTGAAATTTGACTTCACTTGACTTTCCAAATTCTGAATACTGGATTTTGGTCTCTTGCTGGAATTGCACCATGTTTTGCTGCATAGTAGAAACATTAGAAGTTAGTGATCTAATCATTTCATCAGTTGACATATCATTTCGAATTTGAGCTTTGGCCTTTGAGGTTTTGGCCAATGGTGCCCTATATTGCTGATATTGCTGCTGGCCTTGAGCATTTTGCTGTTGTTGTTGGTTCCCCTGGGAATTCCCATATCTCAAATTTTGGATGATCCCTCCATCCTGGATTGTATGTATTCGAATATGGATCATATCTTCTCTGAGGACCTTGCCCTTGGAAACCCATTGCATTGGCCTGCTCATTCTGTTCCTCTTGTAATTGAGGACATGCATCAGTGGGATGTCCTGTGGAGGTGCATAAACCACAAGCATTCAGTTGCTGTGGATTCCTTGAGTTCACCATGAACTCACGCATCATAGAAGTCAAATCAGCTACTTGACTCTCTAACTCAGTTGTATTTGATATTTGCTGCATTCACCCGGCGCGTGGGAGTTCTCTGACTGAACTGCCTAGAATTCTCTGCTAGCTCTGCAATCAGCCTAGTTGCATCTCCTGGAGTCTTATTCACTAGCCCTCCACCACTTGCTGCATTCACCATCCTCAAATCATCATCTGTTAGACCTCCATAGAAGTAATAGGATGAGGTCTTGATCGGAATACCCATGGTACGGAACAACTAGCACACAATCTCTTGAATCTCTCCCAATACTCATACAAGGACTCATCTTCCTTCTGATCCACATTGCTGATAGCTTTCTTAAGGCTTGCAGAAATAGTGGCTGGGTAATACTTCTCTAAGAAACACTTCTTCAAACCTGCCCAATTTGTTATGCTCCCTGGGGGAAGATAGTAAAAACCAATCCTTCGCTGCATCTTTGAGAGAAAAAAGGAAATGCTCTCAACTGAATTTGCTCATCAGTCATCCCAATCGGTTTCATGCTAGTACATACCACATGAAATTCTTGCCAGATGTTTATTTGGATCTTCACCCTTCATGCCATGGAATGCCGGCAATAGATGAATTAGACCAGATTTGATCTCAACATTAGCACCTTCCTCCAACTGCTGATATGCGATGCACAACGGCTGTTGGTTTCAAGTTAGGAGCTGTTAAGCTCTCTCAGTGTTCGATTTTCTGCCATCACTTCCTCTTCTTGAATGTTGAAGATGTATGTTGATTCACTGGGGTTTGTTCTTGCCTCTCTTCGCAACCTGGAAATATTTCTTTCAATTTCTGGATCAAACTGCAAAACTTCTTTGTTAGCAGAACGAGGTACTTATCATACCCTAGCGAACAAACAAAGAAAAAAAAATAGCTAAGAACAATCCTAAAATAAATTCTACTAAGATAAACAATTAAACGGTAACGCCTAGTTCCCCGGCAACGGCGCCAAAATTTGGTGTGCCTCAGTCGTATGCAACCAAAAATATCACAACTAAGCTAACTGCAAATAAACGTAGTTAGGGAAGTCGAGTTCGAATCCACAGGGAAAAAAGGGACTAATAACTGGAAACCTAAGTGGAAAATACTCTAGGACGGTAGTAACCTAAGTAACGAGGGGGGTTTTTCACGAAGCAATGATGATAAATGAACTAAGTAAGAACAACGAACGTAATGAATAGGTAATCAATGAGAAGAACGGTCTTGGTTATGCGAAATCCACTAATGAACATACAAAATTGATCATAGAAGTCTCCTCAATCAAGCTCTATTGAACACCTTGTTGTAGAATTCCTAGATTCTAAATTCTCATAAATAGTTAGAAAATAGCAAAGCGCTCCTTTCTAACCCTTTCCAAATGCACAATTCAATACAAGCGCTCTAAATTATCCACAAGAAGAAAAATAAACGGAGAAATCAACAAGGATTGAATAAATTAACACAAGCGGTCTAATTTTCTTTCAATAATATTATTCCCTCTTCAAGTTATCAACCAAAAGCATGCATCAATAACCTAAAGTTGCTACTTTGGAAAGATTAATTAGATGCAAGCGAATCCAATAATTCTAACCTAGCAATTGATTAAAGCAAATCATGAAATTAATTCAAGGAACAATATATATTCAATAGATATTAAGAGAAGAAAGATCTCACAATTCGTAGCTAAAAAGCTTCAATCTTTAACCAAGAATCCGGAAGATTAAGCTTCCATGGATTCTAATTCCAAAACAAAGAATTCTGAAAAATTCCAAGAAAACCCTAGAAAGCTTTTTTTTTTCTCAAAACTTAATTCTCCTTTTCTCTCTTAAAACTTAATTAAAACTAAGCTATTTTATATGTTTCTATATTTTAATAACATAACACAATAATAATAATAAAATAATATCCAAAACACGAGCCAAAACAAAGCCAAAATTGCTGAAAATTAACCAAAAACAGCCCGAATTTCTGCCAGAGCCGCTTGCCAGCTGCTCTGGACCCGCTGGCAGCTGCTCTGGCAGCCCCTCACTCTGGTATACCCGCTGCCAGCGGCTCTGGCCAGCTGCCAGCGGCCCTGGCAGCGGTTCCTGCTGTTTTCGCCTTCTTTCCTTGCTTCTTCTTCTTGCTTTGCTTCACCTTTTCCTCAAGCTTTCTTCCTGCTCTTCCATGCTCCATCACAACTCTCAAATCACGTGCCAAGGTCCATCCTTCTTACATAACTCTTCATTGGTTCCCGAGCTCACTCACTCACTTATACTCAATAAAATCCCGCCTTTTGCACATAAGTGAGATCACAGCCCAAAACTCACAAAAGCTAACAAAAGTACATATAAAGCATCAAAACACACCCTAAAATGCTTCTCTCAACCCATGATTAAGAAGGCTTATCAGTTTGACTTTCATTTGATTTAATTAGTTTTGTTTGAATGTGTTTGACTTTTATTTGATTCAAAAAAGCTTTGTTTGAATGTGTTTGATTTCATTTGATTTCAATTAGCTTTCATTGAATGTGTTTGACTTTCATTTGATTCGTTTAGCTTTGTAGAATGCATTTGACTTTCATTTGATTTAATTAGCATTGTTAACGCTCTGTTTGAATTTGTTTGACTTTCATTTGATTAAATTAGGTTTGTTGAATGTGTTTGTCTTTCATTAGATTCAATTAGGTTAGTTTGAATGTGTTGACTTTCATTTGATTCAATTAGCTTTATAGAATGCATTTGACTTTCATTTTATTCAAAAAGCTCTATTTGAATGATTTTGTCTTTTCATTTAATTTAATTAGGTTTGTTTGAATGTGTTTGACTTTTATTGAATTCATTTGTGTTTGTTTGAATGTGTTTGACTTTCATTCGATTCAATTAGCTTTGATGAACGCATTTGATTTTCATTTGATTCAAAAAGCTTTGTTTGATTGTGTTTGACATTCATTTGATTCAATTAGGTTTTTTTAAATGTGTTTCACGTTCATTGGATTCAATTAGGTTTGTTTGAATGTGTTTGACTTTCATTCGATTCAATTAGCTTTGATAAATGCATTTGACTTTCATTTGATTAAAAAAGCTCTGTTTGAATGTGTTTGACTTTCATTTGATTCAATTAGCTTTATTGAATGTATTTGACTTTCATTTGATTCAAGAAGATGTGTTTGAATGTATTTGACATTCATTTGATTCAATTAGCTTTGCTTGAACGTGTTTGACTTTCATTTGATTCAATTAGCTTTGTAGAATGCATTTGACTTTCATTTGATTAAATTAGCTTTGTTGAATACATTTGACTTTCATTTGATTCAGAAAGCTTTGTATGAATGTGTTTGACTTTCATTTGATTTAATTAGCTTAGTTTGAAAGTGTTTTGACTTTTATTTGATTCAAAAAGCTTTATTTGAATGTGTTTGACTTTCTTTTTATTTAATTAGCTTTGTTTGAATGTGTTTGACTTTGATTTGATTCAATTAGCTTTGTACAATACATTTGACTTTCATTTGATTTAATTAGATTTATTAAATGTATTTGACTTTCATTTGATTCAGAAAGCTTTGTTTGAATGTGTTTGACTTTCATTTGATTTAATTAGCTTTGTTTGAATGTGTTTGACTTTGATTTGATTCGTTTAGCTTTGTAGAATGCATTTGACTTTAATTTGATTGAAAAAGCTTTATTTGAATGTGTTTGACTTTCATTCGAATCATTTAGCTTTGATGAATGCATTTGACTTTCATTTTATTCTAAAAGCTCTGTTTAAATGTGTTTGACTTTCCTTTGATTCAATTAGCTTATATAGAATGTGTTTGACTTTCATTTGATTTAATTAGCTTTGTTTAATTATGTTTGACTTTCATTTGATTCAGTTAGCTTTATTGAATGCATTTGACTTTCATTTGATTCAAGAAGATTTGTTTGAATGTGTTTGACTTTCATTTGATTCAATTAGCTTTTCTTGAATGTGTTTGAGTTTCATTTGATTGAATTAGCTTTGTAGAAAGCATTTGACTTTCTTTTGATTAAATTAGCTTTGTTGAATGCATTTGACTTTCATTTGATTCAGAAAGCTTTGTTGGAATGTGTTTAACTTTCATTTGATTTAATTAGCTTTGTTTGAATGTGTTTGACTTTTATTTGATTCAAAAAGCTTTGTTTGAATGTGTTTGACTTTCATTTGATTCAATTAGCTTTGCTTGAACGTGTTTGACTTTCATTTGATTCAATTAGCTTTGTAGAATGCATTTGACTTTCATTTGATTAAATTAGCTTTGTTGAATACATTTGACTTTCATTTGATTCAGAAAGCTTTGTATGAATGTGTATGACTTTCTTTTGATTTAATTAGCTTAGTTTGAAAGTGTTTGACTTTTATTTGATTCAAAAAGCTTTGTTTGAATGTGTTTGACTTTCATTTGATTCAATTAGGTTTGTTTGAATGTGTTTGACTTTCATTTTGATTCGTTTAACTTTGTAGAACGCATTTGACTTTCATTTTATTTAATTAGCTTTGTTGAACGCAATTGACTTTCATTTGATTCAGAAAGCTTTATTTGAATGTGTTTGACTTTCATTTGATTCAATTAGCTTTATAGAATGCATTTGACTTTCATTTGATTCAAAAAGCTCTGTTTGAATGTGTTTGACTTCCATTTGATTTAATTAAGTTTGTTTGAATGTGTTTGACTTTCATTCGATTCAATTA